CCTCTGTATCCAAAACTTCCCACTCTGATGGACTTACTCATTCAGGCTATAAATTCCCAGTCCAAAGGTTTTTAAATCCCTGTTCTGGGTGACAGTTATCAGGTTCTGACCTAGATCCCCGATCTCCCAAACGAGTGCACAGCTGAGGTTAAATAAAAAGAGACAAATTGTATGATTTTTAGGGCTCCAGGAGGGTCAAAACCCTTTAATTAAGCTTAAGATTTTGAGGGTAAAGACAAAGGATTCTGTGGATCAGCCCACTTATATTAGGACCAACGACAAAGGACAGAGAAGCTGAGGAAAGTGCAGGCAATGAGCAGGACCTTGGGAGGCACTTCCAAGTCAAGAATCAAGTCAATTAGTAGAACTGTCTTATCATGAAGACATGCTAGAAGTAAACTGCAGGAGTAATCTTTGCAGCTGAGTCTCTACCTTCTTAATTGGGGTTGGAGCCAGAGTGTCCTCAGCTGTGACCTTAACCTGCCCTTTGAGATATCTCTGGCCTCACAGGCCACCAGAGCCGCTTCATAGTGGGCTCCAACACTAAGTGAATCATTAGAACACATAATAATTTTTAATATCCTCATATTTCTTCAGGAAAAAAGCAATTTGTATTAAAGTATATACAGGTTTTGATACCAAAAAAGCATCCAGTAGGATTGAATTTTAGTTTACAAGAATGCTATTAATTCAGCATTTATTATGATGATGTAACTGCAACAAAATATCTGTCCATGTTCATTCATGTGGAGAAGTGCAAGAGGTGATCAATGCTAATTTGCTTGATTTAATCAATTGAAGATGTATATAATCACATAACTTTATAACCCATAAATATATACAAGTAGGATAATTAAAAATAAAACAAATGGAAACTCCCTCAAGTCAAGACTTAGATATTACTTAAAGAAAAAAGGATTAGGGCTAGGGTTAGGGTTAGATTTAGGGTTAGTTTGCTTAGTTCAAGTACAAAACCCTGTTCTGAGGCCTGATTCTCTGTTCCTGGAGCCAGTACTTCAGCCCTCTACAGGGTTGCAAGGGCATATATAGCAAGACTAGGAGCCCAGGGGACAAAGGTCAGGAGGTTGGTGACATGAAGAAAAATTCACTCTGTACTGCCACTCTAGGGGAATCCAGAGCTTCAAGACTACAAGCCTAGAATTCTCAGACTAATTTTCCCATGGATTACAATATCCAGTATCTTGTGGGGCTACTGGGCATGATATTCCCCCTGGACTACATACATAGAATCTTGTGCAGGGCCTCAGGACTGTGTGCCTACAGTCCGTATAGTAATTTTCCCTCTGATATAACAAACAATTCTATCGTGGCCACAGAACTTGGCACAATTTCTTTCTGGACTATATTAGAAGCTTCCAAGAAATCGCAGGACTTCATACTCAGAATCATCAGTTTTCCAATAGACTACCATACCCAGAATCCTCAGAGTAATTTTCCCACAAATTATAATACCCAGAATTCTCCATGGGACCGCAGGACTATGGTACCTAGAATCCTCAGCGTGATTTCTTCCTAGATTGCTGTAACTAGAATTCTTTACAGGGTTGTAGAACTAAGTAAAAGAGTTCTGCTTAATTTCCCAACAGATTATCATAATGAGAATTCTTCCGCAGCCACAAAACTATGATACCCAAAACCCTATAACGCTCCATGGACTACCATACCCAGGATTTACAGCGCAGCCATAAGCCTACAATACCCAATCTTCCCACTACCTCTACCCCCAACTCTCACCCCCCACCACACCAGCCCAACAAGGACGTTACCCAGACTCCTTGGTGTGCCCACCCCTAAAACAATAGGGTGAAAACTGTACCATGATCCTCTCAAAAGGTACAGTATGTAGAATCCTCAACATAGCCACAAACTGCAATATCGACAGAATGGCTCACGTCGCCTGAGCAATGACTACCATACCCAGAATCCTCAGCGTTCTTCCCTAAAAACTACAATACCCCAAGTCTCCCTGCAGAAGCCTGGTTATGATGCTTAGAATCCCAGGTATGTTCCTATTACTAACAGCTACATTCCCCAGGATCCTTGCTATGCCTGCCTTACCCAAGACTTCGCAGCAGCATCTTTGAAGACTGGTACCCCAAGTCCTCAGTTTGTTTCGTGAAAGACTGCTGCCCAGGATCCTCTATATCCCCTTCCTCCCTCAAACCAGGGTTATGATACCAGAATACTGTGTGTACCCCAAGGGTTGTGGACAGGCACAGTCTCCTGCACTGCACCAAACGGAAAACCCAGAATCCTCAGGAGTCTCTGTGAATTCACTGCCTAATACCTGAACACAGGTGTCCACCTGGGTGTGTACAGCCAGTCTTCTCTCAAGATTTGCCAGGGTTTCTGCAGTCCAGGCCTTGGTTTATTTTTAGGAACTTATGCATACACTGGGATCATTTGCCGTTTCTGTGATACAGGTAGTTTTTCTAGTGTATCTTTGGACTTTGCACTCTTTCCTATACAAAATTTAATGTTTAGTTAATTTTGCAGGGACAAAATTAGAGGGCCATAGGCAGGAAATTAGAGCATGCTTTGGGTGGCTGATGGTTGTAAATTTATCACATGCTTATTGTGTATTATGTACTGGGAGAGGCTAGCTCTTGGGAGATTATTGCATGCATGTGCCGAGAAACCCCTAGCTCCCTGACATTTTCCTCACCCCAGAAACAAAGGCTAAGACCCTGACTGGCCAAATTTACACCAATCAGCAAAATAGTTATTTTTAGAAACCAGCTTACCCCAGTAAGTATGAATGCATTTGTTCCTTGAATGTCAGCCACCTGCTTAGGTTACCCCTAGCTTGCAGCAATTCTCATACAGGGTAGCTTTTTCCTGCTTCTGCCATGTGGTAAATACACTCCTGCTTCACATCATTTCAATTCTGACTTCATTTTCCACCTGAGGCACCAGGCTTTGAGTCACTCTCGCCCTGCTTCTTCATTCTTCACCTGAGAATTACCTGGAGAAAAGCGGAGGGTCGTTTTGCAGGGAACCCCTGCCCTCAGACATCCCTGCCCCACTGCTGACACAACAAACAGATACAACCCCTGCGTTTGGACCTTCTAGCCTCCAGAACAATAAACCTCTTATTTTGTTATGTATAATTCATCCTCTAGAATTCTGTTATAGCTCAGAAAACAGACTGAAACAGATGGAGATCACTATGAGTTTGAGGCCAGCCTGAACTGCATAGCAAAACCCTGTCTCAAAAAAGGAGAAAGAGAGAGAGAATCCTAAGGAAAAAGTAGATGGCAAATAGACAAGTCAACTGATGTCCCATATACTGAGTATAAAAATAATTAGAATTTGAAGTTTTTAAAATATTTTCAACACCACCCCAAAATTGAAGGACCAAACTATAAATCTAACAAAACATGCACAAATAAATGCACATTCATAAAACTGTAACATATGGCTGAAAAAATTAAAAGAAACATAAATGCAATGCAGAAATATTCCTTGTTCAGGAACAGTACAATTATTAGTTAGGATGGCAAATCTAACTTGATCTATAGAGTTAGGGAATCTCAGATTCTCCACAGATGCCAACAAAGTCCTTCTGAGCCTTGAAGAAATGGCTTGAGATTGAAGAAGAGCGCTTATAAAAGTGTCTGATAGGTACCAAATACCCAACATACCAAACTTAAGAGGAGAGGCTTACTTTCAGTTCACCATCTGAAAGGTCTCAGTCCGTCGTTGGCTGAGTACAAGGCACGGACATCATGGTAGAGGGCACAGCAGGAGAAAGCTGCCCATTTCATGGCAGCCAGAAAACAGAAAACCAGCAAGAGATGCATCTTTCAAAGACATATCCCTGGTGGTCCACCTCCTCCAACTGCCCCACACCAGCACATTACCACCTAAACAGCACTCCCAGGTTCCAATCACCCCTCCAGGAGTCTCATTCCAGTGAAGCTCACAACTTCTACCTAGTACCATGAAGCCACAATGCAGAGGATGGAATTGGGAAAGGAATACATAGAAAAATGGAACAAAACAAGATAGGAGGGCAGCAGGGCAGCAACCACTAGAAGATGCTCACTTTGCCTCATCTGGAAGGTTGGGACGCACCTCTCAGATATTAAGGGACACTGTGAGACGCTGGCAAGGAAAGGCAAGAGGTCATCCTCCTCGGAGCAGGTCAATCAGGCTCCCTACAGCAGTGGAGCTCAGAAGGCCCCCGTGGACGTGGACGCCCCTCCCTTCGCACCTCCTCTATCCCTCACTCCCAATTCCTAACCCTCTGACCTAACCTTTAACACCAGCTCTCTAATGCTTGACTCCTGATCCTGCTGAGTCAGATAAGCAAACATTTTCTTCCTGGTCTTTTGAAAAGCTTTTACTTGGGTTCACTCTCGATTATTTATTCATTCATTCATTCATTCATTGGTACTGAGTCAGGACCTCACGCCTGCCAGGCAGGCACTGTGCCACTGAGCTATATCCCTGGCCCTTGATTAGATCCTGACTACTTAAAATAATGGACTCTCCCCACTTTTTTTGCAGCTTTGGTGCACAGCTGATTTTTGCTACTGTTCCAGTTTCCTGTCCAGCCCCTTCTTTCTTCTCAAGTTCAGACCCTTCAGTCCATTTGATCTACCAATTCTTTGTGGGGTTTTGTTGGTTGTTGTTTGATTGGTTTTTTACCTTTTTGAGACAGGGTCTCATTATGCAGTTCAGGCTGGCCTTGGGCTCACTTTGTAGCCCAGGCTGGTCTCAAACTTGCAACGATCCTCCTGCCTCAGCCTCCCAAGTGCTGGGATTATAGCACCACCATGCCTGGCCTCCAATTCTTCGTTTTTTATGTAAGGCTGAAACCAGATTTATCTTCAACCCCAGCATACAGCTTCAATACAGCAGACTTATTTATATATGAGTTTATATACAAACCATAAAAATAAACCACTGCCATCCTTTAACATTCTCAAATATGGGAAAACTGTGTCAAAAATATACATATATGCTCTTGAAAATAATTTTCAATCTATTCCAATTTCACATTTATTAATTAGAAACAATGGTTGGCCTTTCCTACATCTATGAATGTTACACAATTAAGCAATATAGGTACGTAGTGAAAGAAAACATATAAATAAGGGGGGAAAGGTGTATTTTTTTAAAGATTTCTTTCAAAAATGTAGTCAAGAATTTAAATCCCACATGGGATACAAAAGCAATGATTAGAATAAAATGTCTCAGTTACCATTATTGATTCATTTGTGTGTACTCATGTATATCCGCTCATTAAAATCAATGTGTTCCCTCTCCAAATAAGTTCTAAACTGACAGGCTTTGTTGTTGGGTTTTGGTCTAGTTCTCTACTACTTAGCACTGAACTGGGCCTCCACAGAGTTACATCCCCAGTCTTTCTGAGACATCTCAGTAAGTTGCCCAGGCTGGGCTCAAATTTGCAGTCCTCCTGCCTAAGCCTCCCCAGAGTGCTGGGATTACAGGCATGTGCCATCACTCTCAGCTCTGAGTATTTTTAAGTACACATATGATTTTTATAAATTTGAAATTTGCTTTGCACAGATCTATGGCTTTACTACTTTTCAACAGAGAAGTCACATGTTAAAATACAGACTACTCAAAAATAAAACAGTTATCAAGAATGGGATTACAATATCCCTCTTGTAGACAACACAGATTATAATATGAATTTATCTGTTTGAAACAGAAGTAGTGTACTATATCGAATTCTGGTTATAAGGTGCTTAATGATAGGAAAGCTTATTCACAATTTTTCTTTACAAGATAAACAGCAACCTATTTGTCACATGTATTACAATTATGTTTATACAAACTGACAACATGTAAACACAAAACACTAAGAAAATTTTAACATTTAAAACAATGTCTCATACATTGTAATGATTTTCTATAATCTAGCATAAAGGCAAATGTGGTTTAAGAAAAATTTCAATCTACATACAATTATAGAAAAACATTTCATCAAACGACCTATTTCACAGATATCATTCATTTACTATTATGTCCAAAAATCCTGATGTAACATAGAAGCTACGTATCAATTAGAATATTGTCAACAAGGATATAACAACTATAAAACATTATCAAGTAAACTTAAATCATGCATTTCTCTCTGAAAGTAAAATGCCTGGCTTTGACTTAAAACGCAGGCAAAAACAATTCTGAAATAACTTTCTTTAAATAGCTTTTATTTACCAATCTAGGGCAATGTGTGTTTTTCCCAGCTATGTATGCAGACTGTACCTCATGGCAAAATGATTCAGTTACTACAAAGAAGCAGAAAAAATACAAAATAACCAGTTAAACTAGAGAAACCATAGAGACATCAAACCCCTTCCAGCAAGTAAGAAGGTAAGAGGTTAAAGAGAAGCACAAAATCTCAGTGCTAAATCCTACATCAACACTTGAGTTTGGAATTATAATTAATAACTTATACTATTCTTTTCTTTGGGTAAAAAAGACTTTAAAAAGTGTTTCAGAATCATCACGGTAACTTCAAATCATTCTGCCATTAAGACTGCTACAAAGATTGCTTTGTTTTCTAGACCCACAATTTGATACCAAGCTCTCAACACAAAAGGCCTAGAGAAGACAGACCTCACAAGTCACTGAGTTAAACTGTTCTAATGCAATGGAGCTACTAAAATACATATTTGTTCTGAAGAAAATTTACAAAACTAGCAATCTCTTTTTCCCCAGAATTACAAAAGATAAAATATATGAATTAGCACTCTAATGTGATCACAGAGACAGCAAACTAAAAAAAAAAAAAAAATTACAGACTGTAACACTCCCTAATTCATTTCTTGAAGTCTTAATACTTCCTATTTTGAAAAATAAGCATATCAACAACATCCTTAACATCCATTATGGTCTCTAAGGATGAGTAATTACCTCTGTGGTTAGAGCAAAATTAGTTTACTACTTTAACATGTTTTGTTTTGCTTTGTTTTGGTTTGGTTTAGTTTGGTTTGGTTTTAGTTTTGTTTTGTTTCGTTTCGTTTCGTTTCGTATTGTTTTTGGTACTGGGAATCGAACTCACCATCTCAAGGTTGCCAGGTAGGCACTGTGTTACTAAGAACCCTGACCATTTACACATATCTTAAAACAAAAACTCTAACCCAAGAGTTCACTTGACTGTTGTTCTTTTAAAAGTAATAAAACATGTCAGAAAAAAAAATCTTGGAAAACTTCTGAAATACCAGAAAGATGCCTGGCAGGTTGATACTTTTACTCCTCCTCCCCTGTTCACACTTTTTCTTTTAAAACTTAGAGGTGACAATTCACATAAGATTAAAATACTTTCATTAAAGTAAGGACTTCTCAATGCTTCCCCCTCCATAAAACTAAAAAGCTCAGTGGAACTCAGCGCCACTAACTAAGAGGCTGCTTAACACAGAACTCAAACTCAAAAGGATTTTACATATTTTCACACACTACGCTTCACACAGGGAGTCCTGACTTCCATGCACCTGATGTGGAGTTTCAGACTCACACACATTGTGTCAGCTGAACACGAAAAGAGCCTCCCGCTTGAGGAAAACACTCTTCTATGTGTCCTTGTCAGCTTATGTTTAAATAAACCACATTACTGAATCAAATTTTAGACCATAATCAAGAGCCAGAAAAGGAAAATTACAATGTGGATGGGTAGACCAGTTCCCTTTCCCAGGGCATCTGCTCCAAGGGACCCCTCAGCAGGAGACAAGCAGCACAATCAGACTTCATACTGACTCTTCCTCATTTCCCCTTTTCAGTTGGGTGATTTATTTTTCTCTGTAATAAAGCAAGTAGTATTTCAGGGGGTCTGGCAGAGGGAGGCTCAGGACCTTCTGACGCAGGAAGTTCACGGGAGGATCTGGCTTGGCTTCTAGTGAAGTTTTATCTTCTTCCCTCCGTTCCTCTTCCAAGTCTTCACAGCTGTTGTCGTCCGAGGGGTTGGAAATACGACTGGCAAAGACTTCTTTGTCCAAAAAGACTATTGTTTCCATTTGACGGCGGCGGACCCTCCTTCGTTTAAATCTGGGAGTGTTCTTCAGTCCATTTCCACTTTTGCTCAAAGCTTCCTGATGAATGATCTTTTTAATGGTACCCCGGATGGCAATGCGGGCCAAGTCCTGGAGGCTGCGTACAGCAAGTGGTGCTTCAATACAAGAACAAGAGGGGCAAATACAACTGTGAGTGATGACACCATAAGGCCCAAACATCCAAAAGTGCACCATTTAAATTCACTGGCATATTTACAAATCTGTTACCAGAATGTTAGAGTATTTTAGACAAATGTTAATTAGTACACCGATTTGCATTCCTGTGCTACTTTTCAAAACATTCTCAGATACACTAATTCTTCACTCTTAAAAGGAAAGAAAGCAACATTACTGAAATTAGGGAGGCTGCAGAGAATCCCAACAATCTCCACTGCCCCAGAGAAACACAGGCCTGTTTCTAAGGACGTTGGCAGAGAATATGTAGCACCTTCCTCCTCTTATTTATCTCTCCTGATTTTCTGTCTCCAAGGACAAGAGGGCCCTTCCTCCCTTTTCCAGGATGAGCTCCAGCAGTTCCTTTGTTGTAGTCCTGAGCACCTAGGTCATGCCACTTACCTATCTATGATCTTCCATCTTTCCTGCCCTCAATAACTTACTTCAAGAAAGATTAGTTCCACAGCCCCTGCAATCTAATCATTCCTCTAAGACGCTGGAACAATTTACCTCACAGGCCATCACAATTGTGAGTGTCAGCTTTGGGCTGGCTCACTTTCCCTCCCCCCACCTCCCTCTTACTTTCTGTGTAAGTGTGTGTGTGTGTGTGTGTGTGTGTGTGTGTGTGTGTGTGTGTCTGTCTGTCTGTCTGTCTGTCTCTCTCTCTCTCGCTCCCTGAGGGTACCACCAGGAACAGCCAAATGACCTCACCATCCCAGGGACACAGCCCCTCCCTCTCGATCCTCCTTTCCCCCCAGCCTAGTCATGTCCCCAAGCCCCAAGGTCCACTATCTTCCCTTTCCCACGCCTGCTGTTCCTTGATTCACATTCATTCCATGGCTTTAAGTGAGTGATCAGCTCCTCAGGCTTCCATTCCATCCTGACCAGGTACGTACAGTAAAAATGGATACCTTAGACTCCCATATTCTTCCTCAGAAAGGCCATGTATCCCTGAACTCTGCTCACTATTGAGGCCAGTGTCAGCTCAATCTTCATTTCTTGCCTAGAAAATTCCAGTAATTTTCTAACTAGCCCCTGTCTCCAGTCTGCCAATCATCCACTCAGTTTAAAAGCTGACCCCACACAGTGCATGTCTAAGTCTTAGTAAGGTAGAGGATTAGGATGGGGACACACTGGCCCAACAACTGGGAGAAATGTGTCAGTCACGAGACCCAGGAGACATGCAGAACACAGAAGCCAGGGTGACTCCGCAGCTCCTCAACACTGTAATGGAACCAAACAGAAACATGCTATTTTCAGTTCTTCACTTACATCTGGCAGGAAGTCAGGCTAATCTTCGGACAGGGCAATTTAAATATGGCAGCAGGCCACGAGTGTTTCTAATAGGACAACTGTCTAAATGCCTTATCTGCATGAGGAAGAAGACAACCCAAGAATTCTGGATGTAAGGAACCTTTTCCATTACCCTCACGGCTGCTGTGAGTCTGTTCATCAACCCACTCTCACTCTGCAGAGGCACTCCTGTTCCACCTCCCCTACCACCTTCTCTGTATGTCTCGTACAGTCCTTTGTTCAGGCCACCTACAACCTGGGCATCACCAAACCAGTAACAATGGGACTCACTTTACTCATGCTATTTTCTGTACTACTGTGTTCACTGTCTTCATTAGCCCAGAAAACTCTGGCCCAGAAGGATAAAAGTTGCAAATAACCTGATTATTAACTTTAGGAACTCTAAATATGATCACATCAATGTTTATCACCCAACACTGGCTTTCTCCCTCAAAACAAGCGTCTCAGGGTAGCCAACACACTGTCAAGCCTCACCCAGGTCTGATCAAGCCTCGCATGGAGTGACTTATTTTTCAACCAGACCCTCAAAAAAATCTCATAAATGCCTCCAAGGAGCCATTCACTTCCCAAACTCTACTACAGCTCTGGAAATTGATGCCCTCACTTATCCACAGCAGCTTTTGTTTAAAGTTTCACAGTAAAGCTTTTTGGAACATGCATCTGACAAAAATCACCCTCTACCTGACCAGTAGGGTTATCCAGAATTGAAGCATGCTCTCTGCCTGTAAATATCTGTAGGCTCTCTACACGATGAATTCAAATTTAGCCTATATACCAACCTAGTTCCTGCCATATATGGGAGAATACATGTTTTTAGTTTTACCTCCCACATACAATTTTAATGTTTCAGTGGCAGGTAAATATTCTTTAATACCATTCCTCTACTACTTCTGTCTTTCGGGAATTACTCGTCACATTAAAGACTAAGAACAAACATCATCATCCTCTTTCTTTTAGAGAGACACTCCCTGGTCTCTCTAAACTCCTTTGCATGTTCCACTGTGGGTTGTTATCAAATTTCAAGGATCTTACCTATGTCTTGAACTTAGCAAAGTGTGATTATTTGACAAATGAGTCCTCAAAAATTAAAAAAAAATTCTGAAAGAAGTCACCAAAAATACATTGTCTTTGGACACCAGGACTAGGTATATTTTTTCTCTTCCTTTACTTTTACAAATGTTGTAAATGGTAAATAGTTTAACTTTAAATCAAATCAACTGAAATTCTCATTTCTGTGTGAGTTGTTTAAATTCTCAAACATTATGATGAATGCAGCCCTTACTGGTCTGCACCCTGCAGGTGTGACATGCAAAGGGTCAGCAAGCAAACCTCCACAGTCTTCCATCTGACCCAGCCGATGAACAGGAGAGTGTGCTCTAGCCTTCATCTCCCCATACCAAGACCTGCGCTGGGGAGCAGGTCTGTGACTCATGTACAGTTCCAGCAGACACAGAATCTTGAGTCTTCTACATGGCAAACTAGCTACCTTTTTCATGAGTCTCCTACAATCTATGGATAACCAGTGGCTACTCTTTGTAGATTTGGGGGTTTTTTTTGTACCAGGGATTGAACTGATGATCTTGTACTTGTCAGGCAGGTGCTTACTCTGTTGAGCTAAATCTCCAGTTCCTCTTTGTAGATTTAAAAGAAGGCTAACATAACCTAGGATGGGCTAAAAATAAATTATAATTTTTAAGTGCCTAAAATCCTTTGTAAAATTTTAAGTTTTCAGTGGTAGATAAATACTCTTTACTATCAAGAGGTTTCTTATAAATTTTGCTTCCAACACTAATGAAATTAAAAGATTTAAAAAGAAAATGATGCATGTACTCACGAAGCTGGACAAGTCTGGACTTTCCTGACTCTGAGTGACAGGGCTGGACCAGCGGGGCAAAGGAAACAGCCAAAATCTTTTTTGTTTCCCAAGCAGAAGGGCCTGTGCGCGTTATCTTGGTCAACTGTTCCAAAGACAAAACAAGAATACCCAAAAGATTTGGCTATTAGATAACATATTTGTGATCATCCCTATACTTAAAATCTTAAAATATGCAGATATACTGAAAGAACCTAAAAATATAAACCCCTAAAGTGATATGGCATGGAGCACAGAATGTATTCAAGCCACCAGCATCTTTTGTTTATAGGTGATATGTATGATACATAAACTAGTTAAAGGATTACTTCAGGAAGTACTTAACCCAGAAAGCTGGAGACGCTTACAAGACAACTTTCTCAGGCTCTTTAAAAAAGGTCAATGATTTGAAGGAAACTAGGGTAGGCTAATCTGAGTTAAAAGTAACTGAAGGCATGTAACAAGCACAATGCTGGAATTAAATTGGAATTCCAGTCTGCCCTGCAGTTAGGTGTAAACATACAAATATTTCTACAATTCCTGCAAAAACAAGGGTGCAGGAGACCCAAATGCTAGGCAATGCTGCATTCACGGTAACTTTCTTCAGTGTAAATTTCTCTCTCTGGATTCCTAGGTGATTACTCTCATTCTTCCAGGAGAAATACATCCTAACAGTACCTTTAGGTGCTCTGGGATTTGGTAGCTAACACACCGCAGTGTAGGTCATCAAAACATTTCTTAGTACAGAGAATTCAATTAAACAACACAGTCAGTCTCCATGTGTGCAGTGTGACTAGGCTACTTTTCAAACAGCCTTAATAGGCCACAATACCATTTTGGGTCAGCTCTGTCATATAACACTATCTGCCAGCCTTCCCTAAAAATATCTAACCTAGTAGATCTTCTAAAGCTAAGATTCTGTAAAAGGCTCATACAGCCATGTACTAAGTAAACAACATCACACTCTTATATACCAAGAAAATTTTTTTCCAAAAACATTCTTGAAAATGAGAAATTCTAATTATAATGAACATCCAATGTTTAATCATTAAATGATGTAATACACCTTAAGTAAAACTATAATCCTCTATTTCTCTTTTTCTTTTTTTTTTTTTGGAGGGGGGGTTAGGCTGGCCTTGAACTCACTATGTAGCCCAGGTAGCCCTTGAACTCACAGCGATCCTCCTGCCTCAGCCTCCTGAGTGCTGGGATTACAGGTTTGCACCACCCACCCAGCTTCTATTTCACATCCTGGAGGAGCAGATTCAATACTGTAAAAACATCTACAGTCTTCAAATTAATCTAGAGATAAAACGATCTCAATCAAAAGCCCAATGCAATATAACAAACATTTCTAATATCATTTATGTAAACAGAATTATCTTCGGAGAAGGAAGACAAAATATGTTACTGTCTAAGCCCTATAATATGTTAAAGCCTCAAACTCTGCAGGAGCCACACACAGGGCAGTCAGCAAGCACTCAGACCACTACTTCTTCTCATTCTGCTGACAGTACTGCCTTAGAGAGGACACAGATACTTCTGCTTTTGAGATTGAAATTGTAAAGATTAAGAGATAAAATACAAAGATATAAAGATTAAAATATAAGAATATTTACAAAAAACATACATGCAAGTTTTTTCTGGGGACAATGCTTAGAACAGCAAGGCTAAAAAGAACCCAAATGTCCATCATTAAAGCACATTCTTATATACCAACAAGAGATTTTGGCAAGGGATCTTCTTGAGACTGGGTCTCGTGATGCAGTTCAGGCTGGCCTTGAGCTAACTTTGTAGCCCAGGCTGGTCTGGAACTTTCAATGATCCTCTTGCCTTACAGTGCTGGGATTATAGGTGTGTGCCACCACACCCAAAAAGATTTTTTTAAATGGACAATATTTTTTAAAAAGCATAAGGGGAGTAAGAATTTTTAGATCTAATGAACATCAAATACATAGAATTAAAATATATAAAACCTACAAAAATATAAACCTTTATCTCATATAAAGTGATATGTTTATGTACATTTTTAAATAGAGATAAACTAAAAGCCAACCAAGATGGTCACCTACAGATGAGGGAGCAGAGTAGAGAGGCATGCATAGAAAGAAATTTTGAGTGTTCCTTGTTTAGACTTTGGAACCTTGTAAGTATTTCACAAAATTAAAAATCTAGAATGATAACCACTAAAATCTGAAAAAGAGAATGAAAGAGCTCACTACACTACAGGCTGATAGTATATGCTTACAGGGAAGTATTACTTCAAGGGACTCTGAAATACAGTGATTGTATACATTATCGCAACAGAGGGACAAGAAAGGCTGGAAAAAGGAGTGTTGGCTGGAGAGGCACCAACATACAGAAAGAAAGGGAAAAAAAGCAAAACCTTTCAACAGTTTTGGAAGTTTAACTGGTGATACTGGTAACACCGTGTACTGCAGATAAAGAGAAGGGTAACACTGCTGTCAAAACTGACGTCAGAGAGCACCCCAATCCTTATTTTAGGTTGGAAGTAGCCACTGTGAACATACGGCACATTTTATCTCCAACAAGTCAGATGCGCCCTGCCCTAATAGTCCACTGAAAACACAAACCTAGTATTATTCATTCCCTGGCCCTGTCACCTCAAAACACTGATTCTCAACAGGGATCCTTACAGAAATGGCTAATTCCAAGTCTGAGATTAAAAAAAAATACAAACCAAATCCCTTTACACCTTGGGATAGTAGCAAAGTTATCACAGACCAATAAAGCTGTATCAAACCCAAAAGTCAACTAAAGAGGCCCTAGCTAAAGATGAGAAAATCTAAGCTTCCTTAAAAATAGCTAGCAGGGTGTGTTTAAACCCATGAATTCATAATGATACTAGAAAACAATCAGTCCTTCATTAGTCACTACCTCTAGCAAACGCTGGAAAACCAAATTATTGAGAAAATAAACAAAGGTTAAAAACCAAGATTCATCCTTCCCCTCTTTGTATAAAGTATACCTCAGAATAACCAGTAATGAGGATTTTTCCCCTCTTAAGTAAACCAGCTTTGTAATGATGGAATTAGAACATATTCTACTGTTCTTAATGAATAACAAATTGGGAGTCACAACTATGCCATAAGCATTAGAAAAAACAATGACTTGATGTGCTGATACATGGTAATAGTGCTGTCCCTGTTTCCAAGGTCTCTACATCCACAGATTTAAACAATCATAAACCAAAAATATTCGGGGGGGGGGAACCTGTCTGCCCTTGATACAATTTTTTTCTGTCATTATTTCCTAAACAATGCAGTAGGAAACAATTTACATAGCATTTGCATTGTGTTAGGTACTATAAATAATCTAAAGATGACTTAAAAGTATGTAGAGGATTTGTGCATGTTAAACAACAATAACATACTATGTGATTTTCTGAAAGGTACTTGAAGATCTGTGGATTTTGGTATCTGATGAGCAGAAGGACAAGTCTTGAAACCAATTTCCTGTAGATACCACGGATAATTGTATAAATACCTAGTAAATATTTTTGTGCTCTCTCCTCCAAAATGTCTCAAATACAAACCTAATCAAATCTCTAAATCAAACTAACAATTCACAGAATATACAAAGGACAGAAGAACATGCAAAATGTCACCATAGAAATATGTAATCTGCCAAATACAGACTATACAAATTCTACAAAACAAATGACCAAGTCTTTGAAAAAATAAATGGCAAAAAAGTAAAAAAGAAAGGAATCTCAAACATACATTAATAAAAAAATTTTGAAGGACAATCTATAGATTAAAAAACCTCAAGATATCTGTCAACAAAATGCAATAAATGACTCTTATATATGATCTTTCTTTCTCCTTTTTTTTTCCTTTTTTTGGAACTGGGAATTGAACTTAGGACCTGGTGCTTACCAAGCAGGCACCATGCTGCTGAGCTATATCCCTGGCACCCATGATCTTTTTTCTAACAAACAAACAATTTTGGGAACAAGGAAAAATTGAACATAAAGTGGATGTTTGAAGATACTAACAAATTATTAAGATTTTAGGTTGATAACAGTTTTATAATGCTTTTTTTTTTTTTTTGGTACCAGGGATCAAACTCATCACTTCACACTTACCAAACAGGCACTTATACCACTGAGCTAAATCCTCAGCTCCTATAATACTTTTTTAAAAGGACTCTCTGTCTTGGATAGCTATATATTCAAATAACAGATGAAAGTTTTAAAATTACAAACGTTCAGTAATGTCTTTATATAACACTAACAGCAAAATAACATACAACCTAACACTCAGTAACAGCAGCTAGTTAATAAATCTGATTAACAGTTCAACAGGGAGGGCCAAGGATTTAGCTTAGCGGCATAAGTGCCTGCTTGGGCAAGCATGTGGTCTTGAGTTCCATCTCTGGTGCCAAAAAAAACTGTAAACAGTTCAACAGGGTTAAATATTAAGTAACTTAAAATTATATTCATGAACTTTTTTTTGGTTTTTTGTTTTCTTTAAAAACTAATTTTTAATTAAGACTACTGACAAATAGATCAGATATTTATGTATGATTTACAAAATATGAAATGAAAATATTTTAGGACACTTCTGTTTGAGGATGTTTTCAAAAAAATCTATGAACATATATTAACAGCAATAATTTTGTATTATTTTTAAAAGCCTCCTCTACATGAGTAATTTTCAAAATAGTCACTTACATATGTATGATTACACGTAACTATGATTATTTTCACACATTTGACAATAACCATGAGTTTTGAATGCTTCCCCACATTGCATACATAGGCTCGGGACACAATATGACATCATTCAGAAGGTTAACAGCTCTGTCAGCTGAACTTTTACCAAATATTTCTTACATGCAGTTACTCCCCAGTGTGAGGGGAATGTTATGTTTGCTAAAGGAAGACATTGCAGCAAATCTTTTTCACACTGCCTAGATACACAGGGTTTTCTACCTTGTGTGCATAATTCCTCTATTCAATGGCATTTTTGTGCACTGACTGCTATCTACCATTTCATGAACTTTTTTGGATAAAAGAAATTATAAATTAGTATTGCAATAATCCTTGAAAAAAAAACACAAAAAGTACTATATACAAGTATCAAACACTAATAATAATTATGTCAGAGATTTTATGCATTTTTCTTAATATCCGTATTGTGTTTTCTAAATTGAGTATTGTTTTCTGAACAAAATAAATGGTAATATCTGAAAATCAAAAAATGCACTAACTCTTAATTTTTAACCCATCTCCTTTTCCAACTTCTTTGTGACTTAAATTCTTCTAACTTCTAAGAAATTCTTCCTGGGGACCAATTTATGTTTGACTGATCTACTCATTAATTTTAATCTATTTTGCTTAATGAAACACAGTATCTGAAACACATACAAAACCAAACAGAATGCTTGGACAAGATTTCCACAAAACAAGAATTGCTATACAATACTCACCATCAAAGCATTTAACCACTAGATTGATAAAAGAGTATTTTAATAGTTTCCTATATAACTCTGACATTACAACAATTGTAACAATTAGAATCAAAAATGAGAAGAGCTGGAGTAAAGAGGAGGGTAAAGGAAATGAAGTGGGGAGTGAGAAGGAAGAAAGGAGAGAAGGAAAAGAGGAACAGGAGAGAGAAGGGAGGTGGGAGAGATGGGCCACAAGCATGGGCTCCAGCTAGGGTCTGTATTACCTAGACAAGCTCCTACACCTGTCCTCTTCTCTTTTCCCTAATTTATACAATGGCAGAAACTGTTACAAGTGTAAATATGTATGAGCTGCCTGGAAGAGACCTTGGCAGACAGTGTACAAAAATGTCAGTTGTGGAGGACATCTCACCTTCTCTTCCAGAGGCATGACAAGGATTCCTCCAACTTTAAGAAGATTTTTCATGTATTCCTCATGTTCCTTCTGCACACCAGCCCCACAGTACACTCGATCATACTGAGAACAATCTGGAGAAATCTCCAGGCAATTGCCAGTAACAAAAGAGGGTTCACAGAAGTCAAACCTGGAAAGGAAAAAAATTCTTTCTGTAACTAAATACATCACGCTGCAACAAGTTCATACAATAAATGTACACTAAAGCAAGGTTATGTTTTAATTGTAAGATTCCAAAGCAATGTAAGTTTCTAGAGTCAGAAGCTAGAAGCCAAACTGCTAAAGAAAATTATAATACACAAATAGAATCTTAGAAATTCAAAACAAAATACAATGAAAGTAAATGTCATAAACATGATCCAAATTTAAAACAATTTCCAGTTGTTCTTTGCTTTGTTTTACCATGCTCATCACAGTAACCAAGATCTACTGTTTGACAAGTTAAAGGAGAGAAAAGCACATTTTGTTTCTCTTAAAATTTTAATGCCTGCTGGGCCTAGTGGCACACACCTGTAATCCCAGTACTTGGGAGACTGAGGTAGGAAGATCGAAAGTTTGAGGCCAGCCTCAGCTCCACAATGAGACTAAGGCCAGCCTGGACTACATGATGAGACTCCGACTCAAGAAACAAAAGACAAACAAATAAAAAATTATGATCTAAAATAAAAACTTCAATGCCTTACTTTAAAGTACCAGGAGCTACCACATAAACTGCCTATAGATAAAAAGTAACAATTTTATTTTAGAAACAATTACATGTTAAAAGGTGGCTATACTAGAAAGATAAAAGCTGAACTAAATGAAATTTTTGTTTTCTCTTATTTTACTAGTGAAAAATTACATTCACAAAGATATCATGTTTACCAAAAACTAAAGCCCTTAAAACCATGATACTAAACAAAAATAATCAGAAAAGACACACATACAACCCAGTATCATCCAACTATGGTTCAATCACATATAACACACTGGCTTTTATCTAATCCAAAATGTGCTGAATTTTAATTCACATTCGCTGACCCAATGGGTATTGCCTGATCATACTTGTCAAAGCTGTCACTTGTTCTGATGAAGAAGTCCAGTTTCTGTTTTGCGTACTCTATCACATCAGAATGAAGCTCCACTCCATGGTTCACACCAAAAGGACCTAAAATTTTGAGAATAAGAACACTTTTAGGACTAAAGCCAAGAACTCTCATACCTTCTGTTCTGCTTTGTTAACACATCAGTTCCTACATCAAAAAATACCAGCTGCAAGTTAGGCATAGTGATGCATATCTATAACCCCAGCACTCTGGAAGGTAGGAGGATCCCAAGGTAAATGCCAATCTTGGCAAATTTGTGAGACATAGTCTTAAAATAAAAATTTAAAAGGGCTGGAGCCAGGCATGATGCTGCACATCTGTAATCCCAGCACTTGGAACCTGAAGCAGGAGGGTCACTATGATTTTGAGGCCACCCTGGGCTACATACGGAGTTCAAGACTAGTCTGAATTACATAGTGAGACCTTGTCTCAAAAAATAAAAATAAAAAGAGCTGAGGGTTCAATTCCTGGTACCACACACACACATACACACAAGAAAGAAAAAAAAATAAGGAAAGAAAGAAAAGAAAAGAAAGGTTTAAGTGGAGGATGTACCATGAAGGCCCTAGGTTCAATATCCAGTATCATTCACACAAAATAAAACTTAAAACTACAAAAATAAAAAAACTGCACTGGCTATTTCCCAGGTCTCCACCCCGTCTCCTACTCAGAATAATCACTGTGAAATACTCTTTCACAGGCTAATTTCCACCTTTTTCTCCTCTGGCAAACCCAGCTCACCTTATTAAAAGCTGACATCCTTCCCCTACTGTGCCATTTTTAAACAAAGATGGACTTCAATAAATCTTTGGTTATCTGATACCAGTATTATTAATACCAGAAATGGCCACATTCCCATGTCTACTTAACTGCTAAAACAACTTTAATGGCTTCAAATTAAGATATCCTCTGAAATCACTTGATCTCTGAAATGTATTTTAAAATATATAAATGTACAGGTATTACTCTTCTAGTCTTGAACAACGAAACAAACTGCTTGGAATAACTCCAACTATCAACAGACTTTAATGACTCTAGGTGGAGAAAAAGCGAAAGAAAAACAGATTCCTCATTAACTTTTTTTGGTGTGGTAACTGGAATTGATTAAATGAATAAATATGTGAGACCGACATTTACACTTCTCTCCTGGCACTCCATGAGCCATAATATACTTCAAAGACAAAGGTAGGAGGAGACAGGGACTAGGAAAGGGCTCCCTGAGAACTCAGGGGTCCATAAGTGACCATCCTACAGTTACTTACTACCTGGGCTCTAGTTACTAGGCTCTAGGCAAGTAACAGAGGCCACAGTCTCTACCAGGGCACGCAGCCTGGTTCTGTCGGGACAAAGTTCAGACTCTTCAATGCTCACCTAAAATGAGGCCAACCATGGAGCTGAGGTATCCAGTACCACTGCCCAAGTTCAGAAACGAAAGCCCTGGCTGCAAATCCAGGGCCTCCATCACTTCTGAGTAGATGCACGGGGCTGAGAGGTGAATGTTTCCATGCTTCCACGCCAAGTCTTTGTAGGCATTTTCTTTAAACTCCTCCAGGTAGTAATCTGCTCGATCAATAGCTCTGAAGGCCTGTTCCACCAATTCTGTCCGTATATACTGTGCTTCCTTCAAATTATCGATCAGTTCGTCATTGTCCTCACCAGCACTCACAGCACCGCCCATGTTCAAGATCAAGCTCAAGACAGACTGTAATTAAAAGTTAAAGAACTATTTATATCAAGGGCAAGGGGCAGAAGAATAAGGGTTCAAAACACAGACAAATTTCAAATTCTAAATTCCACCAATAATGTAGGTGGAATATCTTTTGTTATCTAGCCCACTCTCCAAAAATGCCAAATTTATAAGAAAATTCCAGTTTAATTAGAAATTCAAGCCAACAAATACTAAGAACGTATTGAACGTTTATTTGCAGTTCATATTAAAGTAGTATCCTAAATTTAATCAAAATTCTTTATTCCAATATACACAAGAATAGCAGACCAAGTCAAAATTCCATGTACTCTGTTGACATGGATATTCTGATATCCAAATTTTGTGTAAGAATCTTTTTTTAAAAATCTCTTCCGAAATAGAACGCATTATGACAAACACTTTAATGTAACAAACACAAAAACGGTTTCAAGGCGAAAGGTTAGGAGTAGAGGGTGTACTATCACAACTTCCTATGCCATAAGTGTGTGCTGTGTAGTTTTTTCAGCTCTCTCAAAAGCACATTTCTGAGCCAGGGACAGTGGCCTGTAATCCCAGCTACTTGAAAGGCTAAGGCAGGAAGATCTCAAAATTGAGGGAAGCCTGGGCATTGTAAAAAGAACCTGTCTAAAAGTACTCAAAATTAAAATTTAAAAGGGTAGGGAGGCAGCTCAGTGATAGAGCACTTGTGCTGCACAGACAAGTCTCTGAGTTCAAAATCTAGTACCAAAACAAAAACAAAAACAAAAAAAAACCTACCCTCATCTAGTGCACAGAGAAATGTTCTTCAATCTGCTGCTTTACTCCTCCTGAACAATATAAACATCTTTCTCAATTTTACACTGAGCCCAGGAGACTTTCCCAAAGCGATGGCCCTACTTCACATAACACAGTGACACCGAAACAACACCGCTGCAGAAAAAGTCACCACACGTTATGAAGACACGTACCTTTTGCTTCTGACAGCCCTCCAACAACCTATTACAATGCTATGACAGGACAGTTCCACATGTCCTCCCTCACAGCCCCTTGGGTCTCTAACAACAGCAAGAGAGTCACAAAGAAACCCAAGGGAGAGGCTCCAAGACACCCAACTACCCAACTGGCTGACTAAAGAATGAAAATTTAAAAATTGAGAAGTGTCATTTGTTCACGTACCAACTCCTCACAATAAATGTACTCCCTATGCACTACAAACAACATAGTAATAAAAAATAATTTTTTAAAAGGATAAAAATAAGTCACCACTTCTATAAATCTTCAGCTTCTTACAACAGATGAACAAAAAGTACAAGTAAGTGTGGCATAGATTCTATTATACTTTCTGGTAGAAAGTCAAGCTTAAAGATTTGAGAACTGAGTATTTTCACTTCCTTTTTAAACTGTTTCAGAACCCTCATTGACAGTCCATGGCTAGTTAACTAACATGGATGGAATTAAGTGCTAATGAGGTTGGGTTTAATCTTGGATAAGCCACTTAATGCCTACGTTACACCCGTAGCCTAACGGTTATATTAAAATTTGGGTCACTGGTTAAAAGTAAAGTCATGTGTTTGGATGCTTAAGGATCTACTTAGCAAAAGACTTTACAATCACATATTCTACTAGGTGCTGGATCAAGAGTGCCAACTCTCCATCAAAAGCCTGTATAGAACGCTTTTATTTTATTTCAATCTGTTTCACCTTTAGACAGTAACATAAACTATGTATTGGGTACATGTCATTTTCTATTAAGTATCATTTTGAACTTTTCCTTACTTTGAAAGTTCCTTTCATATCAAAAGGATGGCTTTTCATCATTTTTTGTTGTTGTTGTTCTTTCTGAGACAGGGTCTCCTTGTGTAGTTTAGGATGGCCTTGAGCTCACTTTGTAGCCCTGGCTGGTCTCAAATTTGTAATGATCCTCCTGCATCGGCCTCCTGAATTTTGGGATTGTAGGCATGTGCCACTAGGCCTGTCAAGAGGTCTTTAGTAAAACAGCTACCAGCTATCTGCAGGTGCTACCTCCCAGTCACAATCTCAAAATGACAGGAGGCAAAACACAGCCAGTGTGAAGAAGGGCTAGCTGCACTATCCAAAGGCATACTTTTTATACATCAAAGCAACTTTTTAAAAATGTTAAAGAAGCAACATTCTTGAGGGAGGGTAACACTCTTTATACACAATATCTTGTTGATCTTTTGACAATCAGGGTAACCTATCTAATGCCACTGATAGGGTGTAGGTGAAGATCCATAGGCTTTGGTATTTACTACCACCTTTGTTTGACAATTTAATACTTCCTCACACAGAAACATCCCTGCTTACTGCAGACATGTGTATGATCTGTCACCATGTCACCAGAAACACCCATAACAGTCAAGAGACACCCTCACAAACCAACACCAGGCTCTGCAATCCACTCAGATACAATTTCTCAAAGAGAAGCACTTTAGGTTGTGCCTTTAAGTGCACTCCACTCTTTCCTACTTGCTGTAATACTCACTACAGTCCCTATTCAGCTGTTACCCACGTAATCCCACAGCACTGCAGGGCGCAGGGCAAAGCTGCAGCAGCACGGGAACATGGTAAGATTGGCAAATGGTGGCTGTAACCGAGGCTACATCAACACAAGCAAAGATGAGCCAATGGGGGTATCAGCTTTGGTCTGTGCTGGGTTTGGGAGACTACACAAGGACGCCCACAGTTCACCCTAGATCTCACTGACTCAGGAGAATATCATATGGAAGATGCTGAGTGGGGAAAATAACCCGAAACTATGCATCCTATGGACAGAATAATGAAAAAATGGAGACTTCTGAAAACCAGAGATCTTACAAGGGCTAGGGTAAGGCTGCCACCTGTACACTATTCGTGGCCCCTACCTGTGGACAAAAGTCTTGACCACGGATACATGCTGGATGCAGTCAATACCTACGAAACACACAGAAAGGCTTTCTAACAATTGGAATTGCACACACAAAAAAAGTAAAACAAAATCTTTACCCACAACACACCCGGTCACCATGTAAGACAGTTCCCTGTATTCTCCCAGCCACAGTCACAATTTTCAGTTTTTGAGGGCACCTCTACTTCCCTCATTCTTGAATGAAAGCCCACCAAGCACCATTTGTTTTAGCCTTTCCTTTGCTATTGGAAACAAAGACAACTCCTGCAGGCACAAGAATGCAGAGTCAGATACTCAGAAGAGTAATTTGAAGGTAAAAAGCCCAAGGCCCGGCAAATTCTCCTCCCCGCTGCTCCAGATCCTTTCACAGCACTGTAACCAATTCTCTTCTCCCTTGTTAGCGGCCGTCTTAAAAAAAAAAAATCCAAGGAAGATAGAATTTGCTTCAAACCTAGTCAACTCCTGACTTGCTTGAGAGTTATCTGGAAAACAGAGCTAGAGATAAAAGTGCCACTCTAGAGCCAGATCTGGGGACTGCAAATGAAGTAAAGTGAACGAGAAAATGCTGCACATCTCCCAAAAGGGAAGAGGAGACACTGGGGAAGATGCCGGGGCGAGGTTCCGGAGAAGGGGCAGACTCTGGGAAAGATGCTGAGGATGGGGTTCACGGATAAGGTGACAGGAGGAACTGGGGGGAGGACGCGGGGCCGAGGGGGGTCCCGGAGAGGAGAGAGGAGATGCCGTGTGCGCGGTTCCCAGGGAAGCAGAGCAGACGGTGGTGGACGGTTACCGGGAAGAAACAGCGGGGAGACGCTAGGGCCCGGGTGCCCGAGCAAGGGGACAGGGACGCCGGGGGTGTCTACAGGACGCGCCCCATAGAGACGGCCCAGCGCTCCGGTGACGAGGGGCGGGCAGAGTGCTGTAGGACATGAGGGACAGAGGGACGGACTCCACCTGCGCTCGCGCTCCGTGGCCCGCGGGTCAGGCTGCGACGGCAGCTCGCCCGCCCGGCTCGTCCTCCGCGTCCGCGGCCTGCGCTGCTCCGACCCCGGCCGCCGTAAACATCCGCCGCGGTTTTTGCGCCTGCGCGCGCAGAGGCCGAACTGCGCGTGCCCATCGATCTCGGGCTTAAAAGGGCAATGGCGCGTAAAAAGGGCGATAAGAGCCGCCGAGTCCCTGGCCGCCTAGCGGCGCTGCCTTTACTAAGCATGTGTGCCGTCCAGTGAGCGCCAGGGCAGACAACTTCAACAGTGGATGCAGGCGCGCAGACTGTCATAGGTCTGCGCTTGAGGAAACGGAGGAGCACTCGGAACAGAGGCTCGGTGCCTGTGGGGTCAGGCAGCGCCCCTTGAGAGACACCCTGGACCGGAGACGTGGCCGCAATGAGAAAGCAAGATGACAGAGTGGATCCTGGGGCAAGAAAAGAGCCAGCATCTGTAGGACCAGAGGAACCAATTGCTATAGTCGAGGGCAAAGCAGAGGCGGGCCAAGCCCTGGCAGTGTCCACAGAGGCCCCGCATCGTTGTCAGACCGGCAGCCTGCACTTGGCTGATCTGGTGGCTGGCTCCAACCCTCGCCTATCCCCCCAATCATTTCCACTGTTTTCTGGGTCAGCAGAGAAATAGGCAGTTGGACTGGACTGTAGTCTTAAGCGTCCTTCAGAAACACCTATCAAGAGTGTTCTGAATTTGGTCCTTGCAAGTTTTGAGTGAGAAACAGCTCTGTTCCATGGTCATCTCCACTGTGCATTCCTCCACCCTCTCTGTTGATAAACAACCTTGGAGCAAAAGCACTGAAGAAAATGACATTAACAGAAGGAGTCTACATTTATGAGAGAGTCACTTAGCCTGCAATGGATTGTGCTGTGAATGAGAAAAATATATATATTTTTAAGAAGTTTGTATGGAAAGACAAAGACCCACAATAGTTACCACAATAATGATGAAGAAAAAAATTGGGAAAGGCCAACACTGTCTGAGTTCATGTTTTTAAATTATGTAATCGAGTGTGATATTGGTGAAAAAAAAAAAAAAACAAATCAGTGGAACAAAACTGAATCCCCAGAATTTGACCCACACAAGAATAGTCAACTCTTCTTTGATAAAGAAGCAAAAAACAATTCAGTGGACAAGGACTAGGGATTTAGCTGAGCGGCATAAGCACTTGCTTTGCAAGTGCTCAGTTGTGAGTTCCATCCCTGCCACACAAAAAAAAGAATTCAGTGGATAAAGTGTAGTGTTCGGTAAGTGACTTTTTGCAAAAAGAGTAACCTACAGACAGATCTCACACTTTTAACATAAGTCTTCTAGAAGATAACATAGTAGAAAATCTAGGTGACACTGGGTTTAGTGATGGCTGCATAGATGGATTAATATTGAAAGAAAATTTGGTAAGTTAATTTTTTCTTTAAAATTTCTGTCCTCTGAAGTCAAGCCCAGTGGTATAGCATTCTGGAGGCTGAAGCAGGAGGATCAAGAGTTTGAGCCAATGAAATTTACAATCACACCTAGGGAGAGGAAAGCAAAAATTCATAACCAAGAATTTGGATTGGAACAGATCCTAAGTCAGTTAGCTTCAGTACTGTGGTGGAGTTAGCTTCAGATCAGAGAAATTATTGGAGTGTGAGCCATCAGACTCTCTGGTAAAGAAGCTATTGGGTGAGAATCAAATACCCCACATCCCAGAATCTACTAAGCAACCAGTGGATTTGGAGGACAGGCTGAGTTGATAGCAATGTACATAAAGCAACTAAATGCTTGTATTGTTTGGTTGGTTTCATAGGTCTGAGCATCTCTTGAAAGAATAATAATATGCAGTGTAGCGAATACAGGGGATTTTCTTCTGTCTTGTCTTTGAAATCCAGTATTGTTCTCACTGTTTTGTTTTGTTCTAATTAATTGTTTTGCTTTATTCAATATTCTATTTTGATTGGTTTAATTGTGGTTTTTTTGGTTCGATTTTGCTATACCTGATGGAATGGACAACTATTGTGAGGATAACAAGATATACTATGTTAGCTATTGTTGTTTTCCTGATATCCTGCTTTGAAGTTCTGCACCAGTTTTGCTGCTCTCTTTTGATTGGCTTTGTTCTGTTTTGTTTTGCTGGATTTTACTATCTTTAAAATAAAAAAAAAAGAAAGAAGCTATTGAGAATCACATATGCAGTGTCTCATTGGCATATTTAATATATTCCAAGACTGATGAATATATTAAACATATATATTAAATATATTAAACATATATTTAATATATTCATCAGACATAGATTTTCTTGATTGGTTTAGTAATATGGAAGTATGTTATATTATTTTATGGTTTCCTGTGTTTGTTAAGTTGTTCCTTTTGCGTATTTGTCCTTTGCTCTAATTTAATAAATGTTGAAGTTCTCCACTCATCTAGCTTCTTCACCTCAAACCCCCAAGACAATATTGTTAACATATTTCTTTGTTCTTTTTCCAAACACATAAACTCCTCCTCCCAAGTTTTTAAATTTCTCATACGTAGACATACAGTCATGTCTATCTTCTCTAGTATATTTTTATCTTTCCCAGCCTAAGCCTTTGGCTTTTCCATATCTTACCTAGTTTATTGTCCTGCCTGTCAGCAAGTCCTGACAACCACATAGCATTCCTCACACAGTAAACCTTTTTCCTGTATCTCTCCCTTACCCCCCCCACCGCAAAATAATACTCTCAATACTAAACCTTCAACTCAACTGAAATTACTCCAATAAAATAAAGCCTCCACATCAACTTTTTCTCCTCATCTGCCACTATTACCACGTTTAAACCTCTCCCTTAGTATCTAATACTGCTTATCCAACCACTTCCGCTTCTCCATACCCCACCTCACCTACCTCATGGCAGAACAACCAGAAATAATAAACTGTCATATTGTGCTTAGAAAAGAGATAAAGGGGGGAAGTGTAACTGCAAATACTATCATATAGAAGTGCTGTAAGATTTGATTCCATAAGAATATTCCTGACATAGTGGACAAACTTCATGCCAGTGAATGTCTACTGAATCCACCATCACACCTAGGGAGAGGCAAGCAACAATTCCTAACCCAAGAACTTAGATTTTACAAGAATGCCTGCAAAGATTCAATCTGTGGATGCTGTTATAACCAGAAGTAATTCAACAAAATATAGAGAAAGAGTCCAAATCACTTAAAGTAAATAATATAAGGAATAAATACTAGAATTGGACATACAAAGCTGAAAATTATTCATGGGAAGGCAACATCCTATTAAAAATCTCCAAATAAATTACAAACTCTCCTTGCTTCTCTCGTCTCCTGACATGCAGTAACTCCCCCCAAAAAAGGGACAAAAAAGATAAGGGAGAGAGAGAGAGAATGAAGAAACAAGAAAACAGATGACTTTTGAATCCCCCTAACTCTCCGAGTCAAAACAAGGGATCACAAAGAGAGAAAAAAACAAATACCAGGTAGCAGAAATCTATGAAAATTTCATGGAAGGGATGAAGAAAATAGATGAGTTCAAGGAGGAAATGGACCAAAACTTCACAGAAATCTTACTCGATATGCCTGTAGTGATTCTGGGAGAACTAGATTAAAAATAAAAACTGGACGAGCTAAAGGGAACAGTTCAAAATTTGAATGACAGATTCAACAAGGATGTAGAATCATCAAAAAGATGTCAGACAGAAATATCTGACATAAAAACTATAGAATTCACACATTGCAGAAATGGAAAATGTGAAGACAGAGTATCTGATATTGAGGACAAAATAGTGAACTACAATAAAGAACTCAAAAAAAAAAATAAGAGAACAAGAGAAGACTATCTAGCAGCTACTAGATGACAACAAGAAGACCAATCTAAGGATAATCAGAGTTAGAGAAGAACTAGAAGATAGCCTAGATGGATTCACTACCATGGCTTCAAAAATCATGGCAGAAAAACTACCAAATAAAAGAAAAAAGCTTAAAATAGAAATAAGTGATGTTTATAGAAAATCAAACAATTATGAGAAAAAAGGCTCACTAATGTTTCACACCTATAATCCCAGCATTTGGGAAATTGAGGCAAGAGGATTAGCATGATTGTGAGACCAATCTGGACTACACAAGTGAGTTCAAGGTCAGCCTACACTACACAGTGAGACTGTTTTCAAGCAAACAAAGCTCACCAAGGAGCATCCTTATTAAATTAACAGATATCCTCCCAAAAGCCACAAAATTTAAAAGTAGCCAGAGAAAAATTAAAAAATCACATATAAAGGTAACTAATTTTAAGAAATAAAGTAAAACAATTAGAAACACTGCAGACATCTCAACTCGAACCCTAAAAGTTGTAAGACCTTGGAGCGAAGTATTTCAAGCCCTAAGAGTAAATAACTTCCAACCCAGACTAACTTACCCAACAAAGCTATCTTTCAAAGTAGATGGAAAAATAAGATATTTTGAGGAGAGGAGCAAAGACGTCGGATAGATAACAACTGGCTACAGAGGCTCCCTGAGATAGTCAACTTAGAATTCAACATAATACAGAGTGGGGAGCCCCAAACAGAAGGAGATGAATTCTCTTATCCCAAGAAGAAATTAAGGGGACTTGCCAACCATCCAAGGTCCCACCTTGACTTGCGGAGCCATCCGAGATCCTGCCACTTTGACATTGAGTTTGGGGGTCAGCCAGCCAAAAGGAGAGCTGAGTTGGCAGGGTGCCTACATTGACCTGTGGTGAGTGACAGGAGTGGAGCCATTCCATAAATAGGGGGGCTCTGGCAGATGACATTTTGGGACCAGGCAGGACTGGCAAGTACAAGGGGCAGCAGTGACTTCTGTCAGTTGCTCCCTTCCCAAACAGGATTGGTGGAGTGAGGTAGGCTTGGGTCACATGACCTGGATGAGACCCAATAGGTTATTTGAAATCAAGTCTCTATAGCGGTGGTGCACACTAACCCAGTGAAACCTCAGAAGTTTGACTGACAGTGCAGGCCACAGCAGCTTGACTGACCCAGAGTGGAGGTGGTGCAGAGAAATACAGTGCACACCACAGCAGCTTGACTGATCCCCATGCCACTGAGCTCCAGCCACTGCCTCTGGCG